TACATGTATATGGATTGATTTGATTCATTAAACTCAAACTGGCCATACACCGGCGCCTTTTTCAGGCGATTTTGTTTCGTTCTGACATTTTTACGCCTTGTATTGTTTGCATAAAAATCATATAATAAAACAACATGTAAAGATGTTAATATAAATGTCATTTATTTCAGAGTCTTTTGTATTATTTCAGTGTCCTTTGAGAAATTTCCGGGGCAGAAAATAGCCATTTCTTTTAAAAATAAGGACAATGAGAGCTGTTTCTTTTACTATGCAATCATTTTGCAGTTAAGGCTATAAAGTTTCTATTAATTTGACTTTTAAACTTTTTCAAAACAAAAAAGCCTATGTTTTGCCATAATTTCGACGGTATGGATATTTCAGCTAATCGTGGTCTGGTGGTCTCTTGGATCGGCATAATGACACTTCAAAGGTAATGAGAAAATGCAAAACATTCTGTTATGTTAAACGTGGAAAACATTTTGTTGTATGTAATAACTATAGACGGAGTCCCTTAGAAAACATGTCCAACATAGATGAGGGATTACCCTTACACATGATACATGCTGCTCTCTGCAAATTGATGCTTTACATAATTACAATTCACAGACTTACGAATAAAATACATTGTTTCTCGAAACATTGTCAAGTAAGGGATTAAATATGATACATGTATTTGGATTTATCTGATTCATTAATCTAAAACCGGCCATACACAGGCGCCCTTTTCCTGCGATTTTGTTTCGTTTTGACATTTTTACGCCTTGTATTAATTGCATTTGAATCATATAATAAAACAACATGTAAAGATGTTACAAATGTCACTTATTTCAGAGTCTTTTGTATTATTTAAGTGTCTTTTGAGAAATTTCCGGGGAAGAAAAATATCATTCCTTTTAAAAATAAATCTTCAGGACAATGAGAGCTGTTTCTTTTACTATGCAATCATTTTGCAGTTAGAGCTATAAAGTCTCTATTAATTTGACTTTTAAACTTTATAAAACAAACTTGAAAGCCTTTTTTCCGCCATAAATACGACGGTATGAATGTTTCAGCTAATCGTGGTCTGGTGGTCGCTATGTAGAATCTTTTACCGCCATAAAGCCGAGTTCGTTGTATTATAATGTAATACATTTTCAAATGTAACAGTATCGCTTTTCATTATTGATCTTTTCTCAAATCTTAAAATCATTATTATAAGTGGTTATTCTTACATGTTAACTAATATAGATATAAATTATTAACGAAAGAAATAGCATTAAGATAACAGAGGAGATAATACTTTTTCCACCGTAAAACACAGTTAACATTTTTTAATGTTGCCAAGAGCCCCGTTTCATAAATATGTTTGTCTTCGTCAGCTTGGTCCAAATGAATGTCTTTGTGTACTCGAGGTAAACAATACAGGCTAAAATTAAAAGTTTTATGCAATATATTCCTAAAACTTACATATTCTGCATGTATGTGAATGTTTTATTATAGTATCAGACTTTAATTCATTATCAGAAATCCCACTATTTAATACATTGTACATGTGTACGAATATTGAATGTTAGGCGACAAAGTTATATTTTATTTTGACTAATGATTGTTTGTTTAGCCATACCAACACTGTTTTTATAATTTTGGGAGATATCAGGTGCTTTGTTTCAGACAATTAAATAGTGTTTAAAACAACTGTTTCATAATAAATCCTTTGGTCCCAACTGAATAACTAGACCAGATGCAGTCATCAAATATGCCGGACAATTTGTGAGATATCAACCGTCGATTCTTTTGCAGCGCTTCTCCAATTGACTTCACTAACGTACTGTCAATTTTCCACTTTCATCATCGCCCTTTCCTGTTTGTGATCTTTGAATTTCTTTCGTCAGCTAAAAACGAGTGTAGTGATCTAATGCCTGATTAATTGTACTTTCTTAATTAGATCTTTTCGTATGCATTAGAATGAGTATATGCCCTAAAATTTAACGATCGAACAAATTTTTGGTTTTTATTAACCAAATCCATTTTTCTACGTTTAGTGTTATGACCGCTGCTGTTAAAATGTGATAATCCAGCCATTTTATGTCTGAATGACGTCAACTTAATGTTGATATAATATAAATAAACATGTTAGTGGAATACATGGACAAACAAATCATAAATCATGTATACATTACAACTACAGCCTTGCTTCAGTAACTGTTTTGATGCACTGCACCGAGTGCTATTATAATGATTAATCAATATCAAAGGGAACATACGTTTAGCACAATAATTAAATAAACTGATGCTAAATCTGAAGAAAACATTTTACGATCGCTATATATATGCCAATATTATTAACTGAATGAGATATTGAATTGCAAGAGTCTTTGCTTGTGTCCCTTGTTGTTTTCTCGTCTACGGTAAATATCTTCCCTTTTGCCCCTAGTTTTTATTTCTTTGATTACCCCCCTTTCCCCGGTCTCCTGTCCCCTTCCCCTGTGCCCTTTGGCTTTGTGGGTCTATGGTTCGGTCATTTGTTTGGTTTCTTTGAATTCCCAATCAGTTACAAATAGTGATTAACCTGTCGGTGCTGTCTTGTGCCCTGTCCTTTTTTAGTTTGGGTCCGCCTGGGCTCCTTGCCACTGGTTCTTGTTGCTGGTTCGTATGGGGGTTGCGTTCATTGAACGCCGCCATTCCTTGTTGATCTTGTTTATCATATTTTAATCGTATTCCTTTTTGAACAATCCTCGTATTTGCCAAATAACTTAGTTAGGGGAAATACGGGGCGTCCGTGGCCGAGTGGTTAAGGTCGTTGACTTCAAACCACTTGCCCCGCTGTGGGTTCGAATCCCGACAGTGACTTTGGATTCTTTTTATGTAAAAACGATCCAGCGTTAAAACGTCAGTGGTTTTACTTTGGTCCCGTTTGCCTAAAAAAGTACGGATGGGGCCGAATCTTTCCCCCCCCAGAAAAACTGGGAAATTACGATATGATTTTTTACGTTTGGGGGGTGACGTAAAACCCCCAAATTAAAAAACAACAAACCAAAAGTGGAAAAACTAAAGAGCTTCTACGGAAGAAAAAATAAAAATATGTATCTGAGGAAAATGGCTTAATCACATTTGTTCTTTTGACTTTATTGCAAACAAGTTTAGAAAAACAATACTCATTTTTGAAAACACAATATCTTAATATGGCGGTTTTATAATTTAGCATGCGGCGTTTGTTGACCTGTATAAAAGTTTTGCATCAGACAAAAAATGCAGGGTGTTTAGTTATAAATAAAACCACTTTGTTGCCCTTTTATCACACTGCCATTAAGTTGGACCAACTGAGTGGGTCCGAAAAAACTTGACCTCAACAGACTGGGTGATTTTATTTAGGCCAGGGAACCTTTTGATAGCTTCCTTTACATTTCAAAGTTCTGGCAAATATCTAAATTTAGAATGCTAAGGCAAATATTTAAAGAATAACCACGTAATTCACATAAAAGAAGCTAAAAGACAACTTAAAAAATTGTAATTAAACGTTTATTATGAAAAGTTGTTATTTTCAATAGAAATATTCAAACAAAGCTATACATCAAACATATACGGCAAGAACAAAACAGATTGACACTCTTAAACGTACACTATACACTTGTAAAAATGTGAAAATATAAATTAAAACGCACAAGTTCACGAATAAGGAGAATTTTTTTTACTCCATAATAAATGTAATGTCATGTAGGTGGCGCTTTTATTAGTTGTGCACAAGTGGGTTTGATATTCAGATAAACATAGAAAATTTTAATTTAATAAACACATTAAGACAATTTTAAACATTATTTCTGTTTATAATGCGACATTTATATATGAGAAATAGACATAATTTATTATATAATAGAATATTTCTTTAATATAATGATGGTGACATTTATTTATCGTTGAACTTGATGCTATACTCGTGTAAAGGTTATCAAGTGCTTGTTAATTAAATCAGTCATTGACGTCCATGCACTATTATTCAATTATTCAAAGTTCAATAAATGTCATGTTTCAATATCAGTCTGTGCTGAATTCTTTGTGAGACATGTTTAGTTTTTTTCTGAGTTTAAAAGCTGATTAACAAAAGAGCAGCAAAAAAAGTACTGAACCTCCTTAAACATAGCATCAATCCGTGACATATCAACGTAATGTAAGCACCGTTATCATCATTGCACTTCCTACTAACACTAATGCACACCTGTTACTATCAAATACAATTCTTGTATAATCGATATTCCTGTCAAATGTAAATAGTGCTCCGTAACATTTCTGTCCGTTTGGACTTATTTGTATTATTTGTGCAAGCTTTCTTCTTGAGCTTCTTGACTCTTTTACACTTAATATGAAAACATTACCTTGATCATCTACACACATACGTCTATTGGTTGACCAATAAGGAAGTCGGTCCATTTCAGGAATGTTTAACTTGAATAGATTGTTACCTGAGCTGTTAATAGTGATCAGCTCATGTCTGTTGTTTAAAATGTATATCGAACTACTGTCATTACTCACAGCAATGACAAGAAACGCACCAAAATAATTTTCTTCTTTATTATAAAGTATTTTAATAAATTCACCATCACTTGAATACATATAGACAGAATCTCTGTCTATAAGATAAAGTTTGTCACTGTGACAAGTTAATGACATGCATGTTTGAGAGATGCTGACTGACCTGTTCAATGACATTTTATCTTTTACATCGACAAAGAAAAGTTTTTTTTCGTTATTATTCTCACCGCAAACAACGAGGAAGTCATTATGGCTGTTGTAACACGAAACAGCTTTGCTAAAATAATTTTTTATTTGTATCTCGCTTAAAGCACTGTAGTTGTTGTCAAATTTTTGTACTGTGATTTTGGGATATAAATAAGAAACCATAAACAGAAATCCTGTAGGTGAGATAGAAACGCTCTTACAGCTGGCAAACTTGTTATTTTCAAAGGTAGGTACATGTACCTCTTGATCATACACAATACCACACTTCCTTATATCTAAAACGGACATCAAGGCACCAACCTGTTGGCCATCGAGACTGTTATTTCCTTCAGGTAATACATTCATACTGAAAAAAATGTGCACAATTGAGATGTATTAAAATGAAAACTAATTTGGGCTCATATATCATTTCAATTGAAATTATATGTAAAGTTGTTTCGAACATTGTGATGTTGGAAAGAATTCATGAAAAATCAACGGTATGAGTATAAAGTATTTTTAAATGTAGTCAAATAAATTTCTATGCCGGCAAACAAAAATAAAAAATATGTAAACGTATGTTCATCATAAATCTTGAAAAACTATAACAGGGCATGACTACCTTAATTTTTGTTTACATAATTTATAACTGTAAGGCATTAACATTTTTAATTTGCTGTCTTTATTATAGTTAAGTCGTGGCTAAGAGTTATTAAGTCGTGGCCACGAGATAATTAAGTCATGGGCACGAGATACTATGTCGTGGCGACAAGATACTTTGTCGTGGCAACGAGTCGTGGGTATGATATAAATAAGTCATGGGAACGGGATATTATGTCGCATATGGGCATAAGTAACTTACTCGTGGGCAGTAGAAAATTAAGTCGTGAGCACGTGATTTTATGTCGTGGCCACGAGATACTATGTCGTGGCAACATGTTACTAAGGCGAGGGCACGAGATAATTAGTCATGGGAACGAGATACAATGTCGTGGCCACGAGTTACAAAGTCGTGGCCACGATATAATTAGTCGTGGGCAGGAGATACTATCTCGTGTTCACGAGATACTATGTCTTGGCCACGACTTACTAAATCGTGGGTATGAGATAATTAAGTCTTGGGAAAAAGATACTATGCCGTGGCAACGAGATAATAACCTATCAGATTACCCTATTCATATGAATTTTCCTAATTAATCGGAATTAGCGTCATTGTGACACTGATATTTGGCCCAATGACGTCAAACTAATTAGGTGTCATCTACTGATCAGGTCTAGGAAATACAAACCATGGGTTATTCCTTCTAAACTATTCATCAGACAAGGATTGTTCATGAAGTGCCATGGTAACCCTGACCTTTGACCACAAACATCCTTATAGGCTATCTACTGTCCATGGCCAATGTCCCTAATAACAAAAACGATCAAGGTCTTAGTCCTGGTGAAGTTATCGTATAAAAAAGGTTAACAGGCCGTGGTTCTTACAAACTGGCCGTTCTATCACAGAATTGTCCCCACAAAGGACTATAACTTAGTCAACATCAATGCCTGACTTATGGCCCTTGGAAGGTGACTTTCTAATATGTAAAGTGTAATCTGATTGGTAAATTATCTCATGCGCATGACTTTTCTCGTTCCCACGACTAAGTAACTCGTGGCCACGACATAGTATCTAATGCTCACGACTTAATTATCTCGTGCCCAAGACTTAGTATCTCGAAAGCCACAACAAGGTATCGCGTGGCCATGACATAGTATCTCGTTTTCACGACTTATCTATCTCGAGCCCACGACTAAGTAATTCTTGACCACGACATAGTAACTCGTTCTCACCACTGAAATTTTTCGTGGCCACGACTTAGTAACTTGTGGCCACGACATAGAAAATCGTGGCCACGACTAAGTAAATTGTTTCCACGACTTATCTATTTCGTGCTAACGACTTAGCAATTCATGACCGCGACATAGTAACTCGTTCCCACGACTTAATTATTTCGTGGCCACGACTTAGTAATTCGTGGCAACGACTTAGAAACTCGTGGCCACAACTTAGTAGCACGTTTCCACGACTTATCTATCTCATGCCCACGACTTAGCAATTCATGACCGCGACATAGTAATTCGTTTCCACGACTTAAGTTTGTCGTGGCCACGACCTAGTTACTCGTGACCACGACACAGACACTCGTGGCCACGACTTTGTAACTCGTGGCCACGACATAGTATCTCGTGCGCACGAGATAAATAAAAAAACACATGTGACCTTCGTGCCACCGTTATTTCAAAACACTTGTAAGTTAAAAATTAATTTAATTCCTTTATTTCTAAATAATCGTATTATTATAATAAAGTGAATGAAAACAATGAAAAAATAAGAATTGTTAACTACTCTTTTACAAGTTTATTAATAATGGTATTCTATAAAATTTGATCTTTCATCATGGTTTGATGAATTATATCTCCCTACTCCAGGGGGCATCAAGATTTGTCCTTGTCCATCCGTGTGCCCGGTCTCATGTTGTGTCGCATGTAGCTCAAAAAGTGGTCAATCTAGTGTCATGAACGTTTACAGCAATATTGGTCAGCATGTTTAATTGAGCACCCTTGGTTTTGCGGATTAGTTCAGTTTTATAAGAGTTATTGCTCTTGACTTTTTTGCAGTTTTCAATAGTGTCACGCGTAGATAAGAAATGTTTATTCTAGAGTCATAAAACTTTACAGAAGTATTTTTCAGCAAATGCTGTTGTTCACACCTGGGGGGGGGGGGTGCTTGTATATTTATTCATATTTGTAGAGCAATTGTAACCTAACTTAGTAAGAAAACGCTTCAAAAAATTGTGTTACGTGTACCTATGAATGTTCGTAAACTACATTCCAAAAGCTTGTCAGGAATATTGTTCAACATGTTAAGCTGAGCACCTGGGGCTTTGCGTGTGTATGAATTCAGTTTTGTTAGAGTTTTTGCCCATGACTAAGTACAACTTGCAATTTTCAACTTGTCTCGCTCGTAGGCCGAAAGGTTTTTGACCCGGATTCATAAAATTGTAAGGGAATGTTGGTCATCATGTGAAGTTATTCACTTTGAGCTTTGTTTGTGGATTTATTCAGTATAAGTAGAGATAAAGACCTACATTTAGTAAAATATTTTCAAATTGTTCTTGTGTAACTCAAAAGGTATTTGACCTACAGTCATGAAATTTACAATACTGTTAGTCAGCATCAGTGGTTCATATTGAGGTGTGAATAGTTTTTTTTCTTTTAAGCAAACTTTAGGATATAAAACTGACATTCGAAATTCTTAATATTAAATCAAAAATGTTAACATTGGAAAAATCAGATGTCGTTTGTATGCCCTAACCTCTAAGGAGTAGGAAAAGTCATGTAGAGTTACCCACGTCTTTACCTATATCGTCTATTCTGATGTAAGTCAGTCGACAAATCATTTGAATGTGGGGGCATCCGTATCTTATGGACACATTTCTAGTTGGTGGTGGCACTGGTGTTTGTGTTTTGAAATAAAAGGAAACTTTTCCTTGTATACATACAACTTTTGGATGAAAATTTACTTTTAGTACAAGATTTTTTTTCCATTTGGTAATCAACTTGCCCACGCACCTTAAAGACTTGTGTATCGCTCCCCTTGTATTTTGGTGTTACGTCACAAAAACATTTTAGCGTTTTTCTAGGTACTTTCAGGGCAATAAGCGAATATGTGCCTGCCTTTGTCCTACAGTAATTTTGTAGTTGTGCGATTTGAAAGAAAACTTTGTACTCCTATATCTTTTTCTATTGCGAAATCTCAACCAACTTTTCTAAGGCTCACATTCATAACTAACTTCTTCACATTATCATTACTCTCTTTTTTCGGACTTTTTTGATAATTTACAAAAAGATGCAGGGCAAAACAAAATCTAAATAAAATAACTTTGCAAACTATAACTTAAGGAGTACCTTTTGGGTCTCACTGCCAAAAAACTTTGGCACTTTGTATAGTTCGAAACACTCAAAATTGTCAACAACAAAAAACAATTACCACCGTTCGTAGTCAAGAAATGTTTATGCAAATTTACGGGTTTTAAAACGTTTGTTTCGTTCATGTCAATGAATTTAACCAGGCAAATCTGATTAGCTTAGTACGATAGCGTATTATTAATTTCATACCATATCTTAATTCCTCATATATGTGCTGTGTAACCGTTGCTACTTACTTACTTAAAGGCAGGTAAGTTTAAATCAATCAAAACTAGCAACTGCTATTTCTTCTAAGTATATTCAAATTATTTATTTTCAATGCAGTTTCCAGGTGCTGTAGATAACATGACCTGAAAATGTATAGGAAAAGATCTTTGTTTTTAGTGCATTGTGTTTTATATCAATGCACGGTATGGTGTTTATACTTACAATTAAATAATCACGCAGGCCGTAGGTTTTAGTGATTAATTACAAATTTGCTGATCAACAAAGCGTGCAATTTTATACTCAAAACAAAGATCTTTTTTATCACGGCACGGAAGATTTATTGTCGGACTACATTCATGTGGGTTATATTTACGCAACGGTTTAAAAGCTTGATAAATAAGTGTCTATAATTATTCTATTTGCGCAAATCTTTTGAGTATTAAGTCTTGAAAACTTTATTGTCTACATTTATTAGTATACCAGAAAATATTTTGATGAACAAAACTAAACAAGACAACACTATCCCGAAAATTAAAGTTATAACAAAAATCGGATACTTTTGTCATTTTGTTTCGAAATAGTTGAACAACAACAAAGAAAGTGGTAGTTTGACTTATGTCTGCAGTGATAGAACTTTCTGTTATATCCACTTTATACATAAAAGTTATGCATTTCAGTGCTATACTTCAGTAACGAAATTGCGAATTATACGGAATGGGTCATTGTTGTGAAATACATGTAACACTCGCAACTTGCATTCTTTGACTACATAGAAAAGGGTGTTATAATAAACTTTATTTCCCCACTTACCCGTATATAATGTTTCAAACACTTTATAGAATAAATAGCAATAAACTGTAAAAAGTAACTTTTACTGCAAATTGAACATTTCTGGGTATTTTCGTTATGTTTTAACTCAAATACAATACGTCACAATTTGAAAGAAAGCTATGTTTATTCTAAAACTTCAAAATATCTAGCTAACAATTTGGTCATTTACATGATATAATAAAGATTAAATCAATTTACAAAAATCAATCATGTTTGTAACTTTTATACAGAAAATTTCAATGTAGTTCTAAAACTGTTAACAAATTTGAGTTTCCTGCTAACATAATTGCATGTTTGTCACAATCATATTGTATCGCATAATAATCAATATCACTTTTGAATTTTAAAATAACACTGCAAGACCTTGAACCAGGATGAACTTGTACAATCTTTTTCTTATTACCTCCCTTTTCATCCTCACCAACTATGAAGACATTATCATGAAAACCTACACATAAACGTATCTGATTTCTTATAAATGAACCTTCTATATCAGGAATGTCTAGCATGAATAAATTGTTACCCAAGTTGTCGATAGTAATAAACTTTTTTTTATCAGTCATAATGAATATCATACTTCCATCGTTTCTCACTGCAATGTCAATGAATTCGAGCAGTGTGCCTTTTGACTGATACAGATCTTTCAGAAAATCACCATCATTTGAATAAACATACACCGAAGTTTTGTCTATAGCAAAAAGTTTGTCATTGTAACAAGCTAATGAGTAGCATTTGTGAGATATGCTGCGTGACTTGATCAGTGAAATATCTTCTTTAATATTTACAAAGAGCAGCTGATCCTGATTTAATATAACAGCAATATCATTGCCAGTGTAACATACACATGAACGCAACAAACTAATATCTATTTGTAGGGTACTGATTAATTTATAAGTTTTGCTCAATTTTATAAGTATTTCTGAACACTTAATTAACAAAATTTCTCCTGATGGTAAGATAGAAAAACTGATGAAGCTACTACGCTCAGGTAAAACATTTAAAGGAGACATTTTATATTCTCGAAAACTTTTAACAGACCTTAGATTATTTTCATTAACAGTTGCACCAGCTTGTGTTGAGTTTCCCTCCGATAATGCGTACAAACTGCAAAAAAATTAAGTAAAAGTAAAACTATTTATCAGACAAAATTTTGCATACATCACAACTGAATGTTGAATTTTAATTATTAGTCAATAAGTTTATTTAGTGTTTTTTTTTTATTTAGTTACAGTTAAACATGTCAATTAATCAATTTTTGATGATAAAGAAAGGAAAGAGAGAACAGAAATAATATATGCAAGGGTCGCGTAGAAAGGCCACATACCTACCCATTTTGTTTTCATGGGTAATAGTTAGAAATGAAAGATAAAACGGGCGTAAATTGTACAACATGTCTTATAATGCTTGAACCGTCTCGGCGTCGTTTATATCCAGTATAGCGTTTTTATGATTTTTTCTTATACTTCAAACTATTTATTGCCATTTGTCTAAAGAATTTTATATAGAAATGAACACATTTACTTCGTATATATATTGTATGCATTATCAAACCTATGGTTCATTAAAACCAAGAGAACATAGCAATGCGATGGGGGAGGCAACGAATCGTGATATTGTAAAAATTATGTCAGAGTTATTGAAACTTAAAGATCCTGTAACACAATTTGTTTATGGTTTTAAATCATAAATATGATGCTCAAATTAAGATTTACCAATTATGTAGGTTCCAAAAAGCATTATTTATAAAGATATTACAAATTTAACATTTCATGAAAATAAAGGGAGGTAATAAAAAATTATTTTCTATAAAGTTTTAATCAAATTTTACAATAAGAAATGAATGTATATATTTTAATGATTGCATATAATATGCACAAATATTTGCAGTACATATTTTACATATTCTTCGATGGTTGAAAGGTATTACAAGAGACAGAAAAGCGTAGAACACTTCCAAAAGCTTTCATGCTCCCGTGCTTGATTTTAAATTATAACACTTCGCTTAATATTAACCCTTTAGGCGTTTAGGTTTTGATTGACAAATAAAATAATATGAACATTATAAGTAAAACAACTTTATTTACCTTATGTTGTCAGTCTGTACTTCACAATCAATTGTATCTGTAACAAAATAATATGCAAGTCAAACCTGTTTCAAACACCATGTGTAAGACTGGTTGTGTGCTTTGAATGAAGTCAATCCCATAATTCTTAATGATTCTATTGAGTTCTTAAAATGACGTAATTTCGCCGTAATGAATGAGGTTGTGAATGCTTACGCTACTATAAGAATAAGCGTGCTGAATTAAAATATTAGTTGTCGTTATATCTTAATGTTTCTGAATTATAATTATAATAATTATGCATAATGCAAGAAAAAGGACCAAAAACCAAAGTGCCGGAAAAGACCACAATTTCTCTCTTTTGAGTAACTATTTAGCGGAGACTTGTGCCTCATTACCACAGAAAAAAAGTTAACTCCGAGCTACATATTTCATTCTAAACAGAATCTGGTTTAAGATCATCATAGTCGTTGCCTTTTTAGATTATTAGTATGTGGATCAGAAGACACGGGTTCGATCCCCGGATAATGCAGGTTTTTTGTGACAGATAATAATTTTTTCTGCAATCTTTCGCAATGTACTTCCGTTTGACCATGTACAAAAATAATAGCAAGCCTTTTGGAAAGCCATTACACATGCTTGACAACCTGCTAAGGAATGATGCGGTGCCTAAACTATGCTCTGATGAATTCAAACATACTATCATTACATCTACACATGTACAAAGAACACATTTTTGGGAGTTTTCAAAGTATAAAAAACATATAAATTTGATCATTAAGTGTATAACCGTATTGTGTTATAGTGAGACTGAGCTAAATAAGAATAATATATTGTATTTCATGTAAATATTTATATCTATATGAATTAAATATGACATTACAAATTACCTTTACTTTCATTTTCCCTTTCGTTGACAGTACTGCTGGTCAATGTCACAATATGTGACAATAGATGATGTGGTGGCATACGTGATCGAATCATTTGGAATACCTTTGATTCTATCGTTATGATAACGGCTATTTGATTTATCTTAACAGCTGCATACAATCTGTCTAACTGGCTATACCACCTGTGCGCTTCAGCATGATTAAACTTCACTCCACACAATGACCTGATGATTATCAGAGGATGCAGTGACAGATTTACAAACTTCACCTCGCTTGGATCGGAGATAACGACAAAATTATCTTCTCCATTGCTGAGGTCATATGAAGATAGCAAACTCAAATGAAAGACTTGTTTTTCCACTTCCAGTTGGTCCAACAATAACTACCATACTCTGATCTATGAAGAGTCGTTTCGCTTTTTCTTTACCTTGACTTTCAACTTCCTTTGGTATGTATGATTTTTTGAAAGTCTTAGCCATATCTGGAAACAAAAAGAAAAATCTGAAATTGTCAATATCGCAATTCCAGCAAAATTGTTTTTTTCATTTTATTATTAGCTGTAGATATAGTGTTCAGACAAAGATTTTATTCACTTTTTAGGGTTAATTTGTGCTTTGATACGGAATGTTTTGATTTTAATTCGTTTACAATTAGATATAAATGAAACCTAAATCGCTTACTTCATAAATATCTAAGCATTTCTAACATCCACAGGTACAAATAATGCCAACAAAATAAACGTTAAGGAGGATCCTAAATAATAGTGCTTTAACTACTGGTCTAACACTTTTGTATGTATATGGTATTCATGCTTAAGATAAAGATGTTAGATTGTGTAAAATTATCATGTGTCATATATAATTTTATATTATTAAATAAATGTACTATTTTATCAATTTTAACCTGAATTTGTAGCGGAGTTGCCAACGTCAACAAGATCACGTTTTACACAAAGCACAAAAGATATTTGTTTGTTTGAAAATTTACTAAAATATAACTTTGTATTAAATTCAACTGACTAATTGTTCAACTTGGATAAATTAATTTTTAGAAAGGTTGATTATTTTTATTTCATTGTTTCTAGAATTCAAACATTTACAAAAAGAAATAATTTTTTTGAATTTCTATAGTGCATAAAATCAACTAACCAAGTAAATTCCTGTGTATGGTATCATCTACAACAAGAGTCTTATCTGAAAAAAAAACACATGTTAAATATACGTTTATGAATTAGACATAAATACAAGATACTGAATGAGTGACAAATTTATATTGAATTCATTGAAAGAGTTGAATAAAATTATATGATGCGAGCCTCTGACGAGAATAATATTATTTTATGCAACATGTTCAGTAAAGTCAGTCATGAACCTACACGAATTAAATGTTTAATAAGCGCAAATGATGTAATGAAGTATATGCACGGCCGTGCAATACCATTTTTACGAAATTGCATAAACGGCACGGGTATGTGATAAATATGAATGAGAGAATTTGTTTTTTCACTGACAGACAGGTCAGTATCAACAACAATATTTCGTATATTTAATTAAGGGGTAGGCAATATTAAAGATGTTTTATTACGTGATATCAGCGGGAAAATGACATGTTATTAAACGTTTGTTTTAGAACAAATAAAAATAAATTAAATATGGAAATTGCCTTTACCGTCTATGTTGCTGTAATCGATTTCAACAACAGATGATGTGCATAACATCTCATGATCACTGCGATCTGTCGCTTCTTTCAGATGTTTTTGGTTTGCCACTATTACGATATCGATAGTGTCGTCATACCCTCCTTGTGTTGCGGTAAGCATTCCGTCGATTTCGTCAAGCAATGCTTCATATTTTCTTTCATCAAATTTAAACCTTCCAAATGGCTCATTCAACAGAACGAGTTTAGCATCCTCCGATGTGATCGAACCCCAGTCTGATGGGTTATTAGTTTCTAAGCATTGATCAATGCATTGGTTTGTGCCTTTTATTGCAGCAAATGCACATTTGTAATTAAGGTCGTTATTATTCCCGGTAACGATAACACGATGGTTTTCGTTTAGCTGTTTGGTAATAAGCTTAATACGGTCTTGATAAAACTCAGAACCACTTAAAGGCTTATCAAAACCCCTTTTGAACTTCTCTGAAATATTTTAAATAACATTTTGAAATTGTAGTTGTAATTTGAAATATACTACTTAGAAGTAAGATACTAATTTTTGCTTGATTTTTTTCCATATTTTCGCAGACGAAACAGACTGTACTTCTTACAAAACTTTAGGTGTTTTAATTTAACTAAAAATTATTTTTGAGATGAAATGAAGTTAAGATCTGTTTTTCAAAAGAGAATACTTTCTTTGCTACGAGACATTCCGTTTAATTTGATAAAATTTCCTTTCATCTTTAAAACAAAATCCACAGCGATTCAAATTTTTAAACAATATATTTTCAAATTATGGTAACTTAGTTTTCATTAAAACACACACAAAAACACATAAAAATTCAATTGAATTGTGACCTCTAACCTTTCATGTTTTCCACTTTTTTGTCATAAATGTTAAAAGTCTTTACAGCGGCACCTGTAATATGAAAATGAGAGTACTCGCGAGAAGCAGTCACTATATAAGTATGAACAAATCTTAAGGGAAATAGCACAAATATGAAGTGAAAAATTATCATTCATGTGCAATATACGACTTTTAATTGAGATATTATAAACTATGAAGTAATGACTAGAAAAGTTTAAAGTTTTAAGTTATTATTCTTGTGTACTGAAAAGTCTTGATCTGACCTTTTTCTAAAGTTTCTTATCGCCAATATTAAATAAGCGTGGCAATAAACAATGGCATTTAATGAAGAAAAATATGCAGATGAAGAACTATCAGTAACGAGCATATCACTCATACCAAAAGAAATATATATACCTATGACGTTTCTATCTCAAGCATTTATTTTCTAGTAATGCTTCGGACAAATATAAAGAAATAATTCTAAATGGACAAAATGTGCAGTTATCATTCTGTGTATTAATGCATTATACTTCTGCATAATGAGTACAATCTAACTATAAACATTACAAATGTATATATCTGAACACATTTTGAGTTATACATAAGGCAAAAATAAAAAAGAAAAATATAATAGGGCAATAATTCAAACATTTTGAAGTAAAAGAGTTTTTACTATTGTGCATGCAACTCGTATCATTTCATCTTTCTACCAATAAAGTTTCATTTGCTATCCCTAACATTTTTGAATTTTCAAGAGTTATGCTTTTGAAGAATAGAGATTTTATTACTGTTCATTGCACTCCGTCATCTGTGAAGAAGATATCTCGACAAAGATAAATCAGAAACATAACAAAGGGCAATAACTCAAACGTTCTGACGAGTTAATTTTTGATCTTTGAATTTATGGAGGGAATGGGTTATTTTTTTCTGCATCACACACTTCCTACAACTTCTTTCATTGTCAAAATTACACATACCTTTCAAGTTATGCTCGAACAAAATTTATACAATCATGAAAAATACCAAAGTGCAACAATTTACGGCACTACTCTATGATAAGATCTATCACCTTATTTAGTTTAGAAAATGTAGAACTTAAGACCGGGCGGACAAATACTTTATTAATTGCCATATCGTTCACAAACAATCGAATAACACTTTTTGCAGAAAGCTTATTTATGCATGTTAACAAAGAACGCAAATTCGAAAGTTAGTAAGAAGAATGTTATGGACTGTTGTAACAGTTACAATTAAACGAATACCTGAACGTCCCTGTCTTTTTCTGGATCCTTTTAAAAGTATAGCTTTAGATTTTTCAGACGCAGCCCTCACATTTTGTATCTCGGCGGCTTGCTCATTTAATTTCTTGTCCAGTTTTTTGTTTTGTAAACTAAGTCGAACAGAAAATCCTTTGTACCATGTTTGCAAAACGTCTCCGAGATTTGGCATATTTTCAGTTAAAGCCTTGCTAATTTCTTCTTCTATCGATCGTTGGTCGGGAGCTCCGGCGTATTTGGATAATGAAAGGACTGCATTTTTGAGATCATTCCATGACGAGTCAAACAATTCATCTTCAATACACTTGGTGCTTGGAATATGCTGTAAATTGTTGCGAATTGTTGTAATTGTATCGAGACAAAATCTTTCATCAGAATCTAGCTCAGTCTTAAATAATCCTTTTAATAGGGCTGATGATAAGGTTATGTCCCATTTTTGAATATCTACGATCCCAGACGCCGGAAAAATGTGATCCAGCTGATCGGTGGTGATTTTGTTACGTCTTTCCAAAGTACGAATGTCCTGTTCACGGAACACAAGGTAGTCTTTTAAATTTGTGTACTGGATGTTTTTATCTTTTTTTGCTTTACTGATAAAAAGTTCACGCAATGGCTTTGGGCAAATGTTTACCACAAATGTCACCAACCGTGAGTACTTGTCGGTCATTCTGAAAAAAAAACCCCAGCAAATAAAAATATTTTGACGATACCTCGAAGAAAAGATAGAGTCCAGACGAATTTTGAAAATTTCAGGATACCGCAGTAAAACTTTAATGTGCAAACATGTTATACTTTATGTACATTATTTGATATAATTGTATATACATTTTGAAGTTTATACAGTCAAAGAATTATGAACAATCCAAATGTAATAAGTGCTATATTTTCATCATCAGTGTTTGCACATGTATCGTTGTTTATTGTAGATTAGCCTTGTTAATGTTCAGCTTTTTTCCTTACAATTTCAAACATTTCAGAGCAGCATGCTTATTTTTATAAAAAAATTGAAAATGTATTATTTAAAATTAAAATTTTGTTAATTTGTTAACACAGGAAGAAATTTCTATATTGCAAACCGCACTTTTACTATCCACGTAAATAACTAAAATCATATCGAAATGTGCCAAAACAGTTTTAACTGTGTTAGTCACACAGTAGAATATGGCTATACATTATTTACTGCAAAACCAGTCATTAAAAGCACGTAGCATGTCAATCGTTTTTCCTTTTCTTCAAATGTAAGTACATTTTTCTCAAGTTTGATTTTCTTGAATTATTTTGCATGCAGCTTTCAACCATTATTATACAGGGTTTTGATTAAACGACATTCTGACGAAGAGACATATTTTGCATATAAAAATGTTGAATTTAGAAACACCCGTAGATGTGTTCATACGGCGGTTATCATGGTACCTTCAATGTAACAAAGTTGTGTCATTCCATGCAAAGCGGCCTATGGTTCCCAAATAAAAAAAATGCGCTTGCCCTAAACGAGAAAACAATGGGCAGAACTAAAGAAAATGGAATTTTGAAAGGGGATCTGAGGTTATGAAGCCTGCATATCACAGACAAGACGTTAAAAGACAAATTTAAAAAGCAGGCAACATATCCTAAGGGTGATTATAAAGTAGAATTAAATAGAGAAAATAAGATTCCCTAAAGGAAGCCCAACACGGCAGAATTGAAAATGTTGCAGGCTCGGTTTGATTGAGCCTGTTCATGGACGGTACTGTAAAGTGCAAATTACCGTCCACGCCCCCCTAGCACCGTCAAGCAGAATTCAACATTTAACATTAACTGGTAAAATTTTAAATTTTGAAACATCCGCAGATGATCATGGAACCTTCAACGTGACACGTAAGTGCCATTCCATGAAAAGCGGCATATGGTCCCCAAGTAAAAAAAAAATGCGCTTGCCCTAAACGAGAAAACAATGAGCGGAACTAAATAAAATGGAATTTTGAAAGGGGATCAGAGGTTATGAAGCCTGCATATCACAGATAAGAAGTCAAAAGACAAATTTAAAAAGCAGGCCACATATCCTAAGGGTGTTTCAACAGTATTCAAGTGAGGAATACTGGAACCACCCAAGAAAAAAGCCGAATAGAAATAACTAAATTACCACAAGCACAACAATAATGTCGTGCTGAACGATCTTTAAGGATCAAAAATATAACATCATTGATTAAATGTACGGGGAGACTTTTTACAGCCGCCACACGGCACAAATAACACGAATGTGACAATAAAGACCCAGTTCAAGTCCGGAACAGTCTGCACATTTTTCATACCCTGTGACATTTGGCGCCTGCCTAACATTGGGTCATAAATGCATATTATTCAAAGTTAATTCATGTTGCTCTGTAGAATTTCGAGGACGAATATCAATACAGCACGGCAGTATTTCACGGTTTATAAATATACACTATTTTGGGTGGAAGATGTTGAAGCCGCAGCTAAGCTCAGTTGGTAAAGTCATGGAGCTGTATACCGAATTTCCAGGTTCGAATCCATTTCAGCCTACACACGTTAAACACCCAACGTGAGGTCATTACTAATAATAATCAGATTTTTATTCACATAGTTCTGTTACCTTGAGTAATTCGAGGGCGAATTTTAAAGAAGCGCGGGAGTATGTCACGCCCTGAAACTGTTCAATTTTTTAAAGAAGAAGATGTGTAATCACCGGAATCAATTTGAAGAGTCTTGGAACGGTCCCGGCCAGGCTGCACATTTTACTCACATCGTGACAATTACCTTGTACTTAGACAAGAATAATTATAACTATAGCTAAATGGTAGTCTATTAAAGTAAATAAACTGTATCTCACTTTCTATCTCCTTCCTTACTTCTAAAACAGCCTTTGAAAGAGTTAACGTTAACGATTTTCGGTTGTGATTTTATATTTCACACGTGTACCATTTCATACACTTTTACTGTTATCTGAATGCGTCATATGAATTGAGCTGACAAAGTACAAAGTTAAATTTGAAATCAAACATGTTTTATGTTGCAACGTTTATACTTCACAACAGCAGGTGTCAAGTGCTGTGTGGCAGCTGGTATAAGTTGCCCCGTACTTCACTTCAGTGTTGTTATATTTTTCTTGTCCTTCGGGATCATTGATGCCAGCACTATTAAGTGTTGAAATTGAGTACCGCTCAAGCCGGTGCTAGGGGGCGTAAGGGATGTTGCACGTATTCATTATCCCTCATGTACAGACTCAATCAAACCGAGTCTGCAATTCTCTTGTAATTTTGTTGTCATTAATGCTTCACTTTGTTTCCAGATTTATATATTATATTCAATTCTTCTCTGTAAATTTTACAGGAAGTCAAACTGGTTTAAGACGGCCTTTGTTAAAAAAGCGAAAATGTTATAATACGGAAATATGCAAAATGCAGCTATGAGATAAAGCCAAAGCAAGAAATTATGCATGCAATTTCCAGTTAAGTTGTATAATTTAAACACGAAAAGTTCAAATTCAATAACTAGTTTACGTACACATCGAATCTCTGAGTCAAAATGTATAAATTATACTTTAGGAATAACATCGGTACATTATGTATTGGCTTTAAAAAAGATACTCGGTCAAAGTAAATTAGGTTAATTACCTACGTTTTTTTCCTAAGTTTTCGATAAAAATGAAATTGATAGCAATGTTTGCATTTTAACATAGACATTATGATTTCTTGTAGCTAAGAAAAAAAAAAACATTTTGTGAATATAGAAGTTAAATTAAAAGTATATTGGAAAAATTGTCTCTTCAAAATAAGTCAACTTTTATTCTACTTGTTTCCTAGCATTTTTCCGGTCATTTTTATCCAGTACAGTCTACTTTTACCAGTAAGGCATCTAAGTTTCTTCTTCAAATAAGAGAGACGTTCGTTTCTTTGCATCAAAGTAGTTACACTTATACAGCGTTTTATATATCTGATGATTGAAGTTACGTAAATGAACTTTTAAAAATAGTAACACCCGGGGAATTCTAGTTTGATGTGTATGCGCAATAACTGAGATCGCATTCTATGTCGAACAACATATTGCAGACGATATTGAAAAGGTCTGGAAGTTCTATTTCTTTGACATTGTTTACTGGTACTTAATTCTAATCAAAATTAAAAAAGGTCCGAGAAACTGCTATGAAGTTTTGCATAAATGTTACATTTCAGGCATATGTTCCAATTAAAAAGTAAAGTAAAGGAGCAACATTTAAAATATGGTAATGCTTGGCAGATACTTAACTTTGTTCTGTCAAAGTTTTGTACTTGTCCGTAGACGGATTTTTATTATGCTCCCCGAAGGATAAGCATATAGTCACAGCTTTGTCCGTCCGTCCGCTATTCGTTTCCGGGACATAACTTTGAAACTTTTTAGGTAGATAGATCTCAATGGATAGAAGTGCAGTGCTAAAGAGCAATAGCTCTGTCTTGCCTTTTTGGAGTTACTGCCCTTTGTTCATTTTTTAACTTTGAACATTGTCCTGGACATAACTCTAAAACTATAAGAGGTATCAACATGAAACTTTGTAGGTAGATATATCTCATCGGTTAGAAGTATAGTGCAAAGAATAATAACTCTGCCTTGCCTTAGTATTGAGTTATCGCCCTTTGTTCATTTTTTTTTACTTTTCTGTGTCCAAAACCTACTCGGGGAGCATCACCCGATTCAACTGGTTCTTGTTATATTTGCTAAAAAGTGTGACTAGGGTCAAATAATAAAATAAAACTTCATTTGCTGAGTGTTACTTGCATATATGAATTGATTGTAATATAACTTACCACAAATATTTTCCATGTTGAATTTCGTTGTCTCGCGCAAAATGAAGGTCAATATCACAAGACGTCAAAGGTCAAATATAAATATTAAAATTTGTCAGACCTTGCTCATTTTTGAAGGGTTACAAAATGATTTGGTACAAATAATCACCATGATATTATGGTGTGGCGCACACATAACTCAGGTTCACCGCTCAAAGGTCAAGGTCACACAGGGGGTCAGTGCAAAACCCTTGTCCGAGTTAAAACTTCTACATACATGGAGGGATTTTAATACAACATGGGAGAGGTATTCACCATAGTAACGCGGAGTGTTGCTCCTGTGGCAAATGTCAAGGTCACACTTCGAAGAGTAACAAAATAATACATTCATTTGCGAGTATAACTTTTATATACATGGATGGCCTAAAATATAACTTAGATACAAATTTTCCATGGTGAGTTGAGATGTCTTGTGCAAAATGAAGGACAAAGTCAAATAAAAATATCAAACTTTATACATCAGAGGTAAAGATCACCAAAGATGATGCAATGACAAGATTTTGCCTTAGGTATAAAAGGGATGTGTTGCGCACATCTCACCTATGTATACTTTTTTCTCCTTGATCTGAAACTTATCGGTTCAGGTTTGAATACACCGACCAGGCTAGACATTCTGCCCATGGGCGTGTTTTGTTATATTTTTTTTCCCTTTTTCATCATAACCGTTTATAAGTAGTTTGCTGATTTTAAACTATCCATCATCCTTTGATTTCTTTTTGAAATATGTAATATCCAATGTTTTAACGATTATTGCCAATATTGCATATGATTTATATAATTTATTATTTCTAGCGTAAAAACGAGTAATAGGTACACTGTAAAATAGATGTCGTCCAATTTTGAAGAG